AGTTTAAAATATTTATTTATTTTTTTTTTTTTTTAATTTTCGCTTGAAACAACATGCATTCCACTCTGAGAGAAAACATTAATTAATTAGCAGACGCCCCAGCTTTACGAGCAGTGTATCACCTCAGAGTGGAATACTGAATGACAATGCTTGGTGTGTTTAGTGCTATTTATACTTGTTCTGGCACTAGCTCTCCAAAAGAGTTTGGTCTGCTTAGTCTGAGCTGAGCACCTGAGTCAGCTATAGAGACAATAATCAAGAGGTGTCAATTGGTATGAGCTATGTGAACGATTGAAGAGAGCGCATGCTGGAGGCACAACAATTTCATACTAATACCAAGAGCAGCCACAGCAGCATTCTTTATAGGGTATCTGCTTAGCCACTCACACATGCTTAACGCGCTCTTGTGGTGTTTCTCTGGCAAATTTATGTTGCTATTTAAAATTTATTTGGGATTGTTGAGCGGAGTTCTTTGGGCAGTCGGACAACGACGACGACGGCGACGCCTATTATGTAATTTTGCAAATGCAGCAAGTTGTTATTTAAGAAAATAAATAAAATATGTCTAGCTGCGGCTGTTTATGCGAGAGTGCAATTAATAAATTACTAGACTATTTATTTATGCTGCTGCTGCTGCTGCAGCGTGTGTTGAAATTGGACTGAGACTAAGGCCTCGCATGGCCCAAGTCTTTTTTTTTTTTTTTCAATTAATTGAATGTGCGTTAGCAGCACGTGCCACTTAGTTAATTATGTTTTGATATAAATATATTTGATATATGTTGCAAACAGGGAAAACAGCAAATTGCTTTCAAATCGCACAGCATTCGGTTGGCTTTCGGGTGCTCCACTGCACTGCAAATAAAGTTGTCCAGTTGTCCGACCGTCCGTCTGTCCGGCTCTATACGGCTGTCTAGTTTATGTAATCACCCACAACATGATTGTTATATCTTGTTGCCCGTTGCCGCGACAGGCGCCGTTATTTATTGCAGACTCAACGCAATCCCAGACATGTTTAGACTGCTCTCAGCCTTTCACACACTCACACACACTCAAACAGACTTTGTCAGTCAGGCGAACTGCCTGTCAGTTCGTCCGTCGTCCATCAGTCCGTGTGACAAGCAAACAACAAAGTGGCACCTGCACAAGTGAGCTGCTAAGCTCCGGCCACGCTCCAGCCACGCCCAGCACTGATAGCAATCGATTGGCAATGCTGTGAAGGATTTGGGATGCGATAATAATAATATTTGGCATTTCGCATTGTCTGTCCATTCGCTTGCCTAATTGCTTTTTAATTTCACATAACGAGCACACACATTAGCAAATTAATTTAATCGTTTTTCATTATTAATATTTTTAGGTTCAATTGTTTACATTCATCATCAACTCATCCCATGCATTGCAGCATCTGAGCCGAGCTCGCCCGCCTCAGAGTTCACTGAACTGAGTCAGAGACTCTGAAATTAACTTACAATCACAATTAACACCTTCGGATGTTGGTTTTTATTTCAGCTTTACGTTTTCCCCTCTTAGGCTTCACTCTGCAAAAGCTGATTGAAAATTGACAGCCAGCGGAGGGCAACAAAAGAAATCGTTTGAAAACAAAAATCACTTTGTGGTTTGCAATTTTTAAAATTAGCATAATTTGTGCAAATTCATGACACGAGCATTAGACGAACGCCAATGGAGGCAACTCTTTTGATTGTTAACTTGGCTAGCTGAGTGTTGGCTTAGACCGAATAATTTATAAATTTAATTTTAATTTTTATTTTACAAAAAATTTAATTTTTTTTTTTTTTACAAAATTTATTGAAAAAAACCGCAATGTGTTGCCCAAGAACAATTTATCTATTAAATTAAATTCAAAAATATAAA